AAACTGGATATAAAGAATTGAATACTTTGGCAAAGTTGGTTAAATTTGCAATACATGCACTTAATAAAAATAATTATTGTGCTTATGTGGCAGGACATCCCCAGGCTCAAGTACTACCCTTCCCCCTAGAATGGGACACAGACCCCACCAGAGTAAAGTATAATTTGGCCCTCTTACAGGATAAAGATGCATTGGAAAATAAAACTTGCCAGTCTGTTGCCCCTGTTCCTGGCTATACAGGCCAGGTCATTGGAACCCTCTCCTCATCAGCAGGGAGAGTAAATCACTCTTCATGTCTCACATGATGGGGATGGATTCTCTTATCCTGTGGGGGACTATGAAACCTAAACTCATGTCCTAAATGTTTCAAGCAATGATGGGACCAATAGCAATTACTCTGCACTCAGTGTCTCCCAAGCTGACATCTGATGGTACTGTGGACAGGAGAACCTTTGCTCAAGCCTACCACTTGACTGGTAAGCAATCTGTGTGCTCATTCAATTGGCTATACCTGTTACCCTGGCCTTGCAAGTCTCCCCTAAAAGAAATTAATCCCAGAGCTAAGAGGCCATTACCTGGGTCCTTTAATGCCCATGTTGACTTTATAGGAGTCCCTAGGGGAGTTTCAAATAAATTTAAGACTAGTAGCCATGGGTTTCAAATAGACTATATTCTGATGATCAACAATAAAAAAAAAGTAAATTAATCAACAAAGATTTTTCAGTCGTACCAAAAATGCCTTTAAGGAATATCTAGCCAGCTGAATGTCCTGGGAGAACAAAGTCACATTTAATGCTAACAAAAGAAAAAAATTGTATTATAACCAATAGGTGATGTTACACTTTTATTCCCAATAATACAGTTCCTGATTAAACAACTACAAAGGTTCTTGAGAAACTACTTTGTCCAATGAGTTAACTGAAAATTCAGGAATAAATGATCTTTTTTCTAACCTTATAAAGCAATGGTTTAGGGGGCTGGAGAGATGGCTCAGCAGTTAAGAACAGTAGTTACTCTTGCAGAGGACCCAGGTTTGGGTCCCAGCACCCAAATGGCAGCTAGCAACCATCCTAACTCAGTTCCAGGGGATCTGATGCCCTCCTCTGACATCCATGGGCATTGCATGACATTGTGCACTTATATACATGTAGGTAATATTTGTATGAGTATACAAATAATAAAACACTAAATAAAAATAAATACATAAAGTAAGCCCATTTGTTATAGTCTTCATGTCATAATTACAATAGGATGTTGTATAATCCTGTGTATACAAAGACATTCAATGACTAATTAAAACAATAGCAAAAAATTCTTACATCTTATCATAATTGATCATAAATGAGTGCCTCAGTATAAAAAGTCAGATAATTAGTCTATTTTTACAAAACTCTTTTGTCAAAACATATTAAATATAAACTACTCCAACAGCTATCAAAATACCTGAAAGCAGATCCTGAATCCATCACTCTAGAGTCCAGCCTTGGAAGACAAAAACAAGGAAGAACCCAATAGAAGGATGCTTTTGGAAGCACTTGTCAAGAAACTCCAATGGACTCTCCTATGAACATTTGAAAATTGCCCTGTTCTGACTTTTTTCTAGTTCCTTGTCTAGAACTTGTAATGCTAATTACTCTT